AATCAAGCTAGGTAGCTCATCATCACACCGCCTTTAATTAATTATAAAAAATACAGAGGGGGACGTAAAAACAAGTTTATGAATCCTCAAATTATTAAATCTCAAACTAGTAATGGATTAAAAATTTGATGTTCCCTTTGGCTTTAATGTCCTATACGATCGCACGTGGCCAGGGGTGAGCCTGGACGTTAATTATACTAATAAATTATTCAATATATTTAATATTCCAACAAAACTTCTACTATTTAAGTGGTGAAAATAATAAAATAATAATTCTCTCTTTACCTACATTCAATTTTGAATATTTTTCAAATCTGGACATTTTTCAAATTTGGACATTTTTACTCTTTCCCCCCTTCTCTAAATTGGGAAAACTTTCAGGGTCCATTTAATAAATGCCTACCGACAAGAGTCACCATCTTTTCTTCCCTACCGGTAAGTGTTAGTCGGGTAAAAATCTTCTTTTCACTTACCGCGTAAGAATTTTGGTTATTGTCATGCCTCATACCAATAAATTCTCGATTCTTACTATAGTAACTATGTAAGATAAGTGACTTAATAAACACATATCAAATACATGTTTTGATAAATGATCCCTGGAAAAAAAAAACTCTCCAAACCTTATAGAATCAAATGGTATGATATTTATCAGTCACATATTGGAATGAATGATATATTTATATACTATAAAGTAAAGTAAGAGTTTTTGTGCTTAAAACTTTTTTAAGGATACAACTATTATAAGTAAAAATCTATTTTAATTTCTATAATACTTCAATTTTGTAAACAATAAAAATAGAATATTTCTATATATTATAAAACATTTTTAACTTTTACTTTTAAAATTTATTCTTTTTAAAATTTATTATACGATTTTTTAAAATAGACCTTCAGATTCAATAAAATCAACGATAAAGATATTTAGGAGTTGTTTACTTACCCCTTATTAGCCTCTTACCCAACACGAACCACTTACTCCATTAAGAGGTATGTTGTTTACTTATCCACTTTTTCAATAAGCACAATTGGCTGCCCCTCTTTCCAGAAAACATTCGGTCAACAACAAATTCTACGCTGATCACGATCAACGTATCTTCTCCTTGATTTCTTCCGATTTTATCCTCATCACTCGCTATTTCTATCGTCTTCCTCACATTATCAGATCATTGTTTCCCTCAATTGCTCTGCCTAAGGTAATCGACCTCACCTTCTTCCGATTTCATCTCTTGTTGCTGTCAATCGGATTGTGTCAATTTCAGGTACGATTTTCTTTATCTAGTCATTGATACACATGTTGAAACACATATTTCACTCTATTGGGTCGAATTTCTTTAAAGGTGTTCATAATTCCAGTCGAACAATCTACTGGATCAAATATAGGGTTATATAAAACCATGAAGTTTAGGTGAAGGAAATACTTAGGAAACAACCCCTTTGGTTGTATCTACTGTAAGGAGATTAAGTCTAATTTTGGTCATCTTGTAGTCTGTAATGGTTTTCATAGGCTGGTATCTAGTGCTGGATTATGGGTTCATTGTGGCTTAAATTTTGTTTGTGTGTTTCTTTTGGTTCTATATTGTTTCATTAGCTTTTGTTCATATTGTCCTCTTTTAGGTTCGATTGTGCATGGATTAATCGGGGGTTCACCAAACCTCTACAATTTGAGTATATATGGTGATTTAAATGGGGTTATATAAAACAATGAAGTTTAGTTGAAGAAAATACTTAGGAAACAGCCCCTTTGTTAAACAACACAACCTGGTACTTACAAATTAAAGGTTCAAAACTTGACTAGCTAGCTGTTAAGTTGAATACCTCCTGTGCTGGTCTGAACTCTCCTATTTGGCATAGAGGTCTGATCAATAACTTGAAGGATGAAATGTTAGGAGATACTCCTTTAGTCAACATTTCATCCAATAGTTTAGTGGCATCATCAGGCTCTCTAGCAAACTATTGCAAGTGTAATTATTGGGAAGACACCATTTGCAATCATTTTACGTAGAAGTTTATTGGCTTCACTGATCATCCCTTTTTTGCAGTAGCCATGAAGTAGGATGCTATATGAGACTACATAAGGAGCCACTCCATCATTTTTCATTAAACTCATGACCATTTTTGCATCACGCAGCATATCATTCTTGCATAAACCATCCATCATGATATTATATGTGATAATAGTTGGCCATATGTGCTTTTCTACCATCTCATTGAGAACTAATTGTGCCTCCAAAAGTTTTGCATTTCTCACCAAAACCGACAACCATTGTTGTAACTTTCTACTTCCAAGGAAACACCACTTTCCTTCATAGATTCAACCAGTGTCTTTGCTTCTAGGAACGAAAATAGGGACAGGTGAAAACATGCCAAACAAACAGGCCACTCACTACAAATGTAAACCATTTTTAAATATTCCTTAACCAAATTTTCCATGAGCAATTTAGCAAATGCTTGCAATAAAACCATAGATGGTGAAGATAATTGAAACAAATCAGATCTGAAAAATGTCTATGTACCATGTTTCAACCAGACGACTACTTTTCTTTGTTCCTATCTTGAAATCACACGTTATGAGCTATAAGACGTATTAATATATCTAGGCTTGTTTGTTAACAACTTAATGGAGTATCCAGATGTTTTTGTTCTCCTCCTTTATGTTATTGACTTAAATTATATTTGTTCTAAGCTGTCAAATGTGATAGTCCATTATTCCTGGTGAATTATTTGAAAAAGATCATATGATTTATTTAAGGGTAACACTCAAGTTTGTATGATTGTTTTGGATCACAACTGTCAAAGTGGTATGGTTTGAGATTTGATTCCCATTAGTGGATTCATTGAGATCCTATCTAAGTTGTCAATGTTTTGGCATAATGCCTTGTTGATGTTGTTTTCTGGTAGATATGACTAATCATGATATGATGGTTAATGTTATAAATATGACAAATTTTGGCGAATCTTCACAATCAAAAAAGCCTAGGGTTAACTGGAAAAAAGAAAATGTGGTGAAAACATTTATCGAGTCTTGTTTGCATGAGATCTCCATAAATGGACAAGAAGGGGGTAGCCTTAAGGCAGTTTCTTGGAAGAATGTAGCAGAAGTGCTACAAAAGAATCATAATTTTGTTGTTGAACAATGAAAAATGACAAATCATTATAATTACCTCAAAGGAAAGTATGGAGCATGGGCAAAGTTAAGAAACAAGACGGGTAATGTTTATGATGTMTCAACAAACATGTTTAATCTGTCAGAAGAGGAATGACAGATAGAAATGAAGGTCACATTTTATCTTTTTCTATTAAGATTATTTTCTGAAATTCTTCTTTTATATATACTTATAAATCTTCTATAAACAAAAAAACAAATTTGTTGAGAAGTTGCGGACTGCACCTCTTTTCTTTTCTCAACTTTGTATTCAATTGTTTAATGGTGTGGCTTCCACCAGTGTTGGAACTTGGAGACCAACTGCTACTGTTCCAAACCCTTCTAGCGTGACTCCTAAAATTGGTGAATATTATGACACACAAGACTATTATGATCTAACACAAGAACCACTTCCTTCACAAGAACTACATGTTGAGAAGTTGCGGACTGCACCTCAAAGAAATATTTCCGGTATGATTTATGTTGTTGATTTGATTATTTCTAACCGTTTTTTTACATGTTTCTTATAGTTAATGTTTTTAAAAAGGGGCTATAGGTGCACTAGATAAAACCCTAATACATGCAGTTGTGCCTAGTGATCAACAAATAAGGTATAGAGGAAGAGGAAGAGGAAGAGGAAGAGGAAGAGGAAGAGGAGAATACTACCAAAACATATTATCCATTTGTGACTTTAATATGATATTCACGTTTGTATGGCTGGATGGGAAAGCATTGCACATGATTCTAAAGTTTTTGAGGGAAGTGGCATTTAACCCAATTTCGGGATTTCCATTCCCTTTCATCAAGTAAGTATCATTTTCTTAACATTAAAAGGTTATTATTAATCCATTTCTTTTAAGTTGTAGATGTAATTACAAATGAATATTATCTTTGTGATGCCACATATACTTGTAGCCATGGATTTATGACTCCATATCGCAATACGAGGTATTGGTTAGCAGATTTTCGACGTAGACGTGCATTAACAAAAGAAGAAGTGTTCAATCATACTCATGCACAACTTAGAAATGTTATCGAGCGTGCGTATGGTGTCTTAAAAGAAAGATTTTTAATTCTGAAACAAATGACTCCTTATCCTTTTCCAATACAAAAAGATGTGGTGATTGCTTGTTTTGTGATTCATAACGTTATAAGGAAATGCAATATCCAAGACCAATTATTCATGGAACACGATGATAACACCATGTTTACCGCCGCTGAAGAACAACATGAAGGAAACAATGAAATAGAAGTCGATGAAATGCAATGGAGTTCTCAAGACAGTGAATATATGACTAGTTTTCATGATCAGATTGTAAATCAGTTATTGTCTAATGTTTCAAATTAAGATTTTTGCAACAATTATTATGTTTAAATTCAATTTATTTTCCTATCTAAATATATTTCAATTATGAAATTTGTATTTTTGTCATTTCAACAATTATTCATACAAAAAATTTGGTAAATAGTTGCATTAATTTTAACATTTCATTACATATGGAGTTATAATGGTCATTTTATTATTAGTCAACATCAAATCCAGAGTACTTGATAAACAGTTTTTTTACAAACAATACTTACTCTGATCAGAAATGCTTACTATAATCAAACCTCTTATTTCAAACAACGCTTAACAGTTATGGTTGACAAACGGCCCCTTAGATGTAAACAATAAACTTATGAGAATAGTGCTCTTAAAAATGATGCATTTATTTTTGTGTTGGAATTATTGAGAAAGTTGTAACAGAGGGGTGAAAATATAGAGATTGGACACCAAGGAGACAACCACCGTCTAACGGTTAATTGAATCTGTACAAGACATAGACACCCCTTCCGATCTTCATTTCTTCAAGCAAACGACGACGTCAACTCCTACCCCACCCTCTTGTTGCTTCAGATCCCTCTCTACCTCTACCTTCTTCTCCACTAGTAGTTAGGGTTTCATTATCTCACCCTCCACTAGTATTTTTTATTTTTACTTTTTTCTCCTTCATATATACATACACTTAAGGATATTCATACTACTGTGTCTGCATAGATCGAAATCGAATCATCTGTGAAGATTGAGTTACGCGTTTTGATTTGATTTGAGTTTGTTTTGTTTTGTTCTCTTCTGTTCTGTTCTTGAGGCATTGGTGGTGGTTTCCCAATCGAAAGCAGGCTTGTTGCAACCGAAATGGTGGTTTCTGGACCTCTAACACCTGGACAGGTAACAATTTAGCTACTGCATCTTACGTTGAAAACCTTTCTTTCATCAGTTTAATTGGCGATCTGTTTAGTTGGTTTTTTTAAATGCTGATTTGGAGATCTGTTTTGGTACGTATATGTTGGGGTTCTGATTTGCTCTTGATCTGAATATCCACGAGCTAGCTTGGTTTGATCGTGTAAGGAAGTTGATGAACTTGAAGTTCGTATCTAGTCTACCATTGCGTGGGCAAATGTGTGTGTTTCTCATTCTGAAATTGTTGTCGGTTGATGGTCCTGGTTATTGATCTGTAAGAGCATGCCCTGTCTGCAATTGAGTTAATTGATTTGCTGTTTTTGGGATGATGCGCTTCAACTTTAGCATTTGTAATCTTTGGTACTACAAATTTTATAGACATTATCTCAGAGAATGAACTCATCTCGGAATTCTGATTAATTTTTAAAGTGGCTTATTATTACTCAACACTGAATATGTGGTGTATTAGCTGACAGTAGTGTTACCCTTTCAGCTCTATGGTTACTTATTGCAATATCATTTTAGTCTAATCTCCACCTCTACCTCTTGTCTCATATCTAACCAAAGATAAATCCATTAACTCTCTATGTTATCTCATCAATGCAATTTATCACAGATAACATGGACTTTAGTATGTGATGTTGTTCTATCAAATTGTCACGTTATTCATGGTCGAGGCATAAGTTAGATCACATGTTTGACATTCTCATGCTGTCTTACAGTAACTGGAACCCATAAGTTTTTCTTGTTCTGTATCGCTTCCTTTTTTCCTTCGTGCATAACTTTAACTTGAACCCCTTGTTTTATATACAGGTTCTGTATCTTATAGTAAATCTCCTTGTTAGATGTTTCCAAACAATGATCCCCTAGATGGATAGAAACTGATCTTGCACACAATAAATCTATTCACTCAAATATCATGTTTTTGTACTTGTCTGATGGACACTGCTATTTACTACATATTAAGCACTTCTTTGCATAGTGAAGCTGTTGGATTGAACTTAATTTAGGTAAAGTGTGCTGCCATTTAAAATACCAATCTGCTTGAGAAACAACTAGAAAGAAAAATAAATAGTTGAATGGATACTTAATGGTATGATATTTAATGTCAAATCCAAACCGTTAACTATGTAAGTTGGATGGAAACAAAACAAGTGAAAGGAAGAAACATAGATAAGGGTTGGTATTAACTTTTTACTCAATTAAGCATGAGAAATGCATTTTAGTGGCACGTCTTTCTGGTTGGTTAATCTAGTCTTACATTATGTTTTCCTTATAGGTGATTATAAGGCCTTCATAATTATCATCGTCTTGCAGGTGTCCTTTTTGCTTGGAATCATCCCTATATTTGTTTCTTGGATTTACTCGGAGTGGCTGGAATACAAGAAATCTTCATCCCCATCTAAACTGTAAGTTTCTTAATTACTCTAATCAGCTTCATTTGTCTCTTCTCTATGTGCTTCTTTCAGTCTTTGGGAACATGGATGTGGGGTTGGGTGGGTGGGTGGGATCGGTTTGTGTTTCACTATATTATTGCAAGTGTGTGTGCATGAGATCCATGTTTAGCATCCTTCCATATACATAAATGGATGGATGCAAATAGATTAAAGCATTTAGGGTTTTAGTTCCTCACAAGCTTAGCTTGTGGAGGTAAGTGACGTGCTCAATCATTCACTAAGCATGAACTATTTTCGTGATGCTTTTAACAAGCAATGTGTAACATGTTAAACTTTGCTAACCATGCATTATTGCATACCTTGCACGGCAATGAACTACATTATCTATTTAGTTTTTAGGCAATGTCTTGAAATGTTTTAATATCATAAAGCTTGTTTGTGTCCAATGATTGCTTTAAAGAGTTGAACGTGGAATGCTACAATGAATTCTCCAAATAATCAAGTACATCCTGTCAGGCTTTGTTTTTGCAAATTTTAAATAGTCTTTCATCTTCATAGATCAAATCACCCACCATACGTTGTTTACCCAATTGCCCTGTATGAGTTGATCATCTACTAATCCATACCATGTGAACTGTTACATGTGATTTGTTGTATTCAACACCGGATAGGTGTATGCGTACTTTGGATGTTACAGTATCATCTAATGCTCGTTTACTCATGTCTTTTGGAAGCAGTCATTCAGACAATAGTTTGGTTGAATTGGAAACTGTGGTAAATAAGGAAGATGATCGGGCTGTTTTGCTGGAAGGAGGCCTCACAAAGTCAGCATCAAGGCCACCTGGTGCTTCCATTAGAGCAAACTTAATTAGGTTAGTTACTGATTTTATGGATTTATTTTCTTGTTTTTATTCCTTCTTTTTTCATTGAAAGCCTTAAACTACATTCTGCACATTCTTGATTTGTAGATTTATGACAATGGAGGAATTATTTTTACTTGAAAATCGAGCAACCCTACGAGCAATGTAAGTCGGATCACTTTTTTTGCGTTGATTATATTTCGATGGGTCTGCCCTTTAAGCTGATGCAACAATTACATTTGACTTTACCACTTCATGTAGGTCAGAATTTGGGGGAATTTTATTCTATTTCTACTTGTGTGATCGCACCAGCTTAATTCCAGAATCCGCAAAGGTTCATCGTTTTACCTTTTTTTTTGAAGTATATAGTATTTAAATACGGCAAAACCACCTTTTTGATTGTTTTAAGATTTTTTTCTCAGTCTTTGACTAGTTTAGTGCCTGATTTGGCAGTTTGGACCAGGGGAATGTTGAAATTCGGAAAGCATCGTCCTGAAAAAGCTTATTTCTTGATTAATACATAAATTGCTAGAGCATTTATAGTTGAGACCTCATATTTCACTCTTGTACTTGCAATAATTGTTTGTATGCATGTTCCCTATCAAAAAAATTGTTTGTATGCATGTTAGGAATAGGTTTATCACAATATGCTACTCTAGTTGGTGCCAAAATTTTGTTAAATCTTCGTATGAACTTTAGCATGTGTTAGAGGATCAGCCAGTTGTAGTAGTGATCTCCACAAGTTTGCACATCTTAGATGCTCCTGGTGTGTCTATGCTACACAACGCTTTCCTTTTTTTCTTCTCTTCACCTTGTTCCAGTGTGTTTTATTTTTACTCTGTAACCTGTAATAAGTTATATATCATCACACTATTTCCTAGAGGATTGAGGGGTGAAGGGAATACTGATTGGTGTAATAACTTTCTCCTCTTTTGTTCTCATGAAGTCCAATCACTAGATATGGATAACTGATAGTCTACATGATAATTGTTGTCAATCAAGCCTTTGGGCTTCCTGAGAAAAGCAGACTAGTCACTGGTGTTTGATTAATAAACTTTATCTTCTTTGGTTGTAAGTTATAACTGTCTTTTTTTCCTTGCACAGAGCTACAATCGCGATCTTTTCCTGTTCCTGTACCTTCTTCTTATCATTGTTTCAGCAATGACTTCTCTGAAGAAACATAGCGATAAGTCGGCATTCTCGGGAAAGTCGATACTTTACCTCAATCGGCATCAAACAGAGGAGTGGAAAGGATGGATGCAGGCAAGAGTCTTGTCAATATTATTACTGTGCCACTGCTTTCATCATTGTGGATTTGAATTAAAGCTTATATATTGCTATATGGAGTTCCTCATTTAATAATTCTTAATGCCTACCCCATTTGACATATCATATCATGGTTATACTAGTAACAAAAGAAAGTTGTCTGAAGTTGCTTTTTTTTCTGTAATTTGACAGGTTCTCTTCTTAATGTATCATTACTTTGCTGCCACTGAGATATACAATGCAATTCGTGTTTTTATTGCTGCCTATGTCTGGATGACTGGTTTTGGGAACTTCTCCTACTACTACATCCGAAAGGATTTCAGTATTGCACGATTTTCGCAGGTTATTTTCTTGTTGTTTATCTAGCTGGTCTTTTGGAGAATCTTGGTAATCCGCCAGTTTCTTGCTGACGTCATGGGTAATATTTAATTTGTTTTAGACATCAAAACATTACATGCTAGCCACTTTAAGGGGTAATGAGTAATCTGTTCTTACCTATCAAAGGACCCTTTATTCTTACTAAAGGTCATTTCTGTACTTAAGTACATGATGCAAAATGTGAAAAATACATAACATGGGATTTAAATGCTACTAAAAAAATTGAGTATGAAACTGGTAAACATCAGCCCAAGATTGGCTGCATGTGACTTTATGCAGCTGCCCACAAGTAAACAAAGTACCACAAGTTTTTTTAAATAGAATTCTAATTTGCAAACTGCTAGATGGAAGTTTCATTATTTAAACTTGTGACTTTTATATAGAATTGTAACTTGTAAACTGCAAGATGGAAGTTTCCACATTTAAACTTGTGACTATGAATTGTATCAATAATTAAAATTGGCTAAAAGAAAAATTCCTCAATGGATACCTAAACATATCCATGGGGCAGTACGGGTGTTAAAACGGTGTTTATAACCTAATTTCTCTCTTTTCTCACTTCGCTTTGTATTGTTTGTTGGGGTGGGTTGAAAATATAATTCTCTATATAGTAATCACTGAGTCGCTACTCTAGTAAATTCTGCCATAAACTGGTTTGGTAGGAATTTTCAGTTTTCCACATCTATTTTGAGCCAGTTACTTTTTACAATATTTTACAATTGATTTATAACACCTAATGATATTTCTTCTTTTTGCAGATGATGTGGAGGCTGAACTTTTTTGTGGCATTTTGTTGTATAGTTCTTAACAACGACTATATGCTCTATTATATCTGTCCCATGCACACGCTTTTTACTCTTATGGTGTATGGAGCACTTGCTATTGGAAGCAAATATAATGAGATAAGATCAGTGATGATTACAAAGATCCTTGTATGCTTTCTCGTTGTTATCTTGGTGTGGGAGATTCCTGGAGTCTTTTACGTAATTTGGAGCCCATTTGCATTCCTATTAGGTATGATTTATCTTCTCTTTAATGCATATCAATATGCTATAACTGTAGACAGCAGCTAAAGATAACTGTGTAAATGACTCAAATCCTAAAGCTATATATTTTAGGTTCTAACTCATAAAAATTTCATCATGCCAGCATATTTTCCCGTTTCTCTTGTTAGAATATATTACTCATTACTTTGTAGTTACTGTAATATTCTGCTTTGTGTATTTCTCTGTCTAGATTAACAGAGTATCATAATGTGTCGACATATTTTTAGTGTATCAAGTACAGTTCTGACTTCAAATTTTGCTAAAAGATCTAGTATGTAACATGATGTCCTGAAAAGTAGTTTTTTTCGCTTTGCAGGTTACAGTGATCCTGCAAAACCAGATCTCCCTCGATTGCATGAGTGGCATTTTAGATCTGGGCTAGATCGCTATATATGGATCATTGGGATGATTTATGCATATCTTCACCCCAATGTAAGCTCTTGAAATTTTTTATACCCCTCTGAAGTTCTACATTTTGGAGGCATGGCATTGCTAAATATTGTATGATATTATCTCAGGTTGAAAAGTGGATGGAAAAACTTGAGGAGTCAGATAGCAAGCGGAGACGCACCGTCAAGGCATCCATTGTTTCAGTATCTGTTCTGGTTAGTCTAGATTATATTTCTTAAGATGTTCCTCTTATTCAAGAGTTTGTGGGCTCATGTTAGCTTCTTTTCAGGCTGGATACATGTGGTATGAATACATATACAAGTTGGACAAGGTTACATACAACAAATACCACCCCTACACATCATGGATACCTATAACGTGTGTAATGAATATTTATTGTTCTTTTACCTTCTTGCATTTTTTTGGTAGTGTGTCAGAACTTATGGTATTCTGGTGTGTCGTATTTAAAACATGATGGTTTGTTCTTCTGCTGTCAGTGTCTACATTTGCTTGAGGAATTTCACTCAACATCTTCGGAATTTCTCATTAACTCTCTTTGCGTACGTTCTCTTTAATTTTCATATTTAAAGATTCAGAGTTGTCAAAAACAACTTTCACATCTATAGCTTGCTCTATTGACATTATACTTTTTCCCCTGCGCTAATAGGTGGCTTGGTAAGATTACTTTGGAGACGTACATCTCTCAGTTCCATATCTGGCTAAGGTGAGTAAAATTTGTGTTTGCTTTTCAATAAAAAGTTTAACTTTGGTGTGTCTTTGTCTGTAGCACTTTTGGGTTCTTTTGTTTATGTAATGGGTCTTTTACATACAAGATGACTGAATAGATACCCACACCCACTCCCCATTCTCCATTGCTTTCTTTTATTCTTGTCAGTTTTTCTTTTGTTGCTATGAAATGATTTCCCCTTTCTTAATTTATTGTGACAAATTATATCTGAAGCCAATAATTGCAATGTCCTAGCACTAACCAGCATGAATGGTGCAGATCAGATATCCCCAATGCACAGCCAAAGTGGCTTCTCTCATTTATCCCAAATTATCCTATGCTGAATTTCATGCTTACCACTGCAGTTTATGTCTTGGTGAGTAACATATCCATTCACCTTTCTAATTTAATGTCATGAGATATATGTACTAAATTTCTTGTGTTGGTTGATAATTCTGTGCTTGTAAATGCAGATATCCTGTCGGCTATTTGAACTGACAAACACACTGAAATCAGTTTTCATACCCACAAAAAACGATAGACAGTTGCTTTACAATTTTCTTACTGGAGCAGCTATTTTTGGGTGTTTATACTTCATTGCGTTCATTGTTGTTCGCATTCCTCAATAATCGGTAAGCCCTTCCATTCCCCTTCAAAATTTTACTTTCACACTTGCCAACCCTGCATGCTTACTCAAGCCTTTACTTGCCGCTAGCAAATAATGCTTTTTGCAGCTGTACACAGGCTTGTGGGTATTCTTTGTTATTACTTACTGTTGTACATATGAGAGCAAAGAGAAGTGTACATACATAGTGGCTGTAGCAGTTATGGTATGTAGCACAAGCATAGTCCCAAATCCAGAAAGAGCCATGACAAAATGCGTTGAACACCGAATAAACATACAGCCAAGGTTCGAGAAAAATCTAGAATCAAACTTAAGTTTCTACGGGGACATGGATTTTCCGGTGTTGGATCTAGTTGATTCCAATAAGTGGAATTCAAATATTCTCAGTGGTTGGCTGTAATAAATTATCTTAGAAATCAAAGTAGTAGTTTCATCATCTAGTTACCTAAAAGAATATCAGGCTTGTATTGCATAATCTAGGTCTCTCAGGTGGCCTTGGGTGGTTTCAGAAGTAAAAAAATAAAATTAGGACAATAAGTCCATACAATTTGGCCTTACCTGGAATCAAAATGTGTAAATCTTTTAAGGTACGTGTTGTCATGGTGGGTTGAGAAAACAAAAGGTGGGTTATGTCATATGTGGGTATGAGATTTTGGAGTTCTTTTTTTTGGGGGGAGGGGCTGTTATAGGTAGCTCCGCAGGGAAGAACGCCATCCTTGATAATTAGGGGAACAGAAATTGGAGGGGTTCTTTCTAAAATACGTTTAAAATTATTTGTAGATCATGGCTTGATATGTACATTGGTTATTTAATTACTTGTTAGCAATGAATTACATATTTGTACATTTGATTTTTAGTTCAATTAATTCCATTACTTGCACTGGATGCATTTGTAATTACATCTTAGAGACTTGGGGGCCGTTTACCTAATGCTGATCGGGTAAGGTAAGCACTTAGCGGGTGTCACTTACTTCAGCAGGTGAGCATGACACGCACCGAAATCTTACCCGGTAAGTGAGGGAGAAGACTCTTACCCGGTAAGCGGTTATCGCGTAAACGATGCTTACCAACAATCTATTATAATGGTTGAGAATGTTACCCGATAAGGTAAGTGAGCATGGTGACTCCTGCCTGTAAGCACTTATCCGGTAAGCGGTTATCGCGTAAACGATGCTTACCAACAATCTATTAAAATGGTTGAGAATGTTACCCGATAAGGTAAGTGAACATGGCTTTTGGTAAACGGCCCCTTAGGCTTTAAGTTCATTTATTTTATGACTTACTGCGTGTGTTGCATGGTTGTACCTTGTACTTTAATTTAATTAAAAAGGGTTATCTTAATTAATTACCAAACCATACCAAACCAAACACTCCAGTAAATCCCACGTAGATGCAGGATCTGGAAGGGTAAGATGTTGGCAGACTTTACCTCTACCACCCCAATGATAGAGAGAATCTGTTTTCGTGAAGACCCCCGACTTGCTGAATAAATAAATAGAACAAACGAGTAAGATATAGGTGAGAGTGTGTGCACAAGCAAGCAGACAATGCAATAGAAGAGAGGAGAGGGAGATAGGTTACCCATTCAAGGGGAATAGGGGCACAGAGCACATTATAAACTACTACAGTTACATGAAGAAATCTAGAACTTATGCACAGCAAATGGGACACATTGATATGAACAATACCATACTTGTAAGGAAGGAAAAAGTAAAACAACCGTCCAATGGCTGTAAGGCCCTAATCCTAACTACCACCACGCTACTTCTTCCCATCTCACCCTCTAGTCTAACTACTACTAACTCCTCTCCCCTCGCCCCAGATACAGATCTTTACACACAGTCTGCTAGCCTAGTCCTACGTCTCCAAGAGCTTCTATAGAAGGTCATGTCCTTTCAAATGTCTAAGGTCGTCATTTCTAACCTCAACTGCTCCTATGTTCTCCTTGGTCTACCCCTCCTCCTTACCTCTCCTACCGTTCTCATCGGTGCCGTAATCTGCATCATGCGAACATGCTTCAACTACCGCAACCTTCCCTCTCTTATTTTATTTGTGATAGGCGCACAACTCCCAACTCTGCCCGAAAGGTCTCGTTCAGTATCCTGTCCAACATGGTCGACCACATATCTATCTGAGCATCGCTATGTTTGCACTTCTAAATTCTTCTTGTGCGGCTTCCTCATTTTCTAACCCTCCAACCCATACCACATAGCCTGGTCTGATGGCAACCCTGTAGAATTTCCCCTTCTATTTTAGCGGAACTTTCTTGTCACACAACACTCTTGTTGGAGCTCTCCACTTTAACCACCCAGTCTTTATACGATGTGTCACGTCATCCTCAACTTCTCCCTTAATCATAGAGCCTAGATACTTGAAGCAGTCCTTTTGAGATATCATTTGATATCCCAAGTTTTTAATTCAACTTCCTCGTCGATGTGTTCCCTTATGAAGTCACACCATAGATTGGTCTTGGAGCGACTAATGTGAAAGCCTTGCCCCTCCAAAGTTGCCCTCCTTTCTTCTACCCTTTGGTTAACCTCTACCCTCGACTCCGCTACCAACACAATGTCATCAGTGAATACATGCACTATGGGACGCTACCCTTGATCCCTTGGGAGATCTCCTCCACTACTGCAACAAAATGGAATACTCCGTGTTACCCACCAGTGTCCTGACACAGGTACTTGCTCCCCCGTACATATTTGGTATTACCAATTTAGCATGACATACCTCCATGGTACCCCTCTCTTCTTTGGACTCCTCCAAATCACGTTCCACAACACGCTATCATAGGCCTTTTCCAGGTCTATGAACGTGATGTATAGGTCCTTACTAAGTATAGTTTCTCCATGAGACGCCTGAGGAGGTGGATTGCCTCCATCGTCAACCTTCTTGGCATGGAGCCAAATTGGTAATTTTGATTTCTACATCAACAATCCTTTCTTAAATTTTATTGTCCATATAGGCAGCCATGTTAATGTTAGTATCATTTTAGCTCTTTTAATAGGCTAAAAATGTATATTATACAACCAATGACATCCAGACCAAAGGCAATCACTTTTTTTTGGTAGTTAAATGTATATATCAAACTTCCTGGTGGAGTGTATGTATTGTTTTATGTTATGAAAGAGGTCACTCAACGTGCAAAAGTCAAATAAGGACTTTCTTTTTCTCATGTTTCTATGATGTTGAGTCTTGACCTTTACTTGCACAATCTGAATTTACAGGCACGATGAAGTCCGAAAATATATATCCTGTTTAAAATACAAAGCATATATACTTGGAACAATGTAATTCCACTGTACACGTCTAAATTCCATACCTGTCTCACAATTTTGGAGAAGATGATCGTGGTTGATTTCCTGTGGTCTGCTCTTGAAGAAGAATGGCAAGAAGTCTAGTCGGGCATCGTAAAAGGTAATTCTTTTGTAATCTGCATTTCATCGTAGTTTGTCGAGAAGGAGAAGAAAACATGTAAGTAAGTGTAATTTAGATTCATGGGGAAGCCATTGTTACAGGTCAAGGATATTGGTTGGTTGTAGAAAGACAAAACCTCATGTTTTGTTAGTTAGATCATGTGTTTGGGTTTTTGCATTATTGAAGCTTTTGGTGTATTTGTAACAGCATATTTTTGGTCTTTTTTCCCTCTATTTTCACCAAACATATATTGGATGCAAGATGCCACTACACATGGAAAAAAATCTGCTGTACGAAAATACATGTTTCATCTCTATCCATCCAACAAATAAGTTTTTTGTATATATATATTTAATTTATTTCATTCAATTCAGATTATTTCTCTAATGTCGTGTATTTATATGATTAGTGGATATGAATACGACGCCAGAATTTGGGAGAGATGATTCTTATCCCTATATGTTTGACTCTCTCTGTTCCATAGTTATGGACTGCTACAAATTTATCCATCTATTATTGCTCAAATTCTCACGTCGTATTCATATCCACTAATCATATAAATACACGTAATTACACCGGTGGTTTGCTCAAAATTACATTGATGGTCTTTAACTTTTCATTTCATAACACGCATGGTTCTTCTACTTAACAATGTTAGTTAGCAACCCTTATGATAGACTACTTGGTCTTTCAACAAACTATAAGAACCAAAAGTGCAATCTACTATAAAATTTAATATGATTCAGAACCTTTTTAATGTTTTATAAGAAAATATTTTATATATCCAATCATAAATCAAATATCTTAAAATAAAGTATATACTAAATAAAATTCTTTATATTTATTAAAACCTATTAAATTCACAAAAAAAATAGCATTTAAAAATTTCAAGTTTAGAAAAAAAAGATAAATTTACATATCTTTTGAGTTGGGAATTGAAATATTAGAACAAAGTATTGAAAATTAAGTTCAGTTAACATGAGATTATTAATATATAGTCAAACTACAAATAATTAAAATAACAACAAATAAGAATTATAAATTAACATAAAAAACCATTGATTATTCAAACAATTAAACAGAATTATCACTACAGCAAAATTAAGTTTATATGACGCCAAATAAAAATAAGCGTCCGAATAAACCACTTTATAAGATTTAATTTATAAGACAACAAAATAAAGCGTCTTACCTAAAGGCGTTGCAACAAGTTTATAGACGCTTTTGGGCATCCTAACAGGTTTTTAAGATCATTATAATACGAAGTGTCGCATTAACAATTTTATGTAACACTATTTAAAAAAAAAACTGTAAAAACAAGCGTCTTATAAAACAATGGGGTTTTACGATGCTTATTTTTTTTGGCATCATATAAACCTAATTTTGTTGTATTAATTGTTTTTCTTAGTTGTTTGAATAATCAATGTTCTTTAATCTTAATTTATAATTTTTATTTTGCTATTATTTTAATTATTTGTAGTTTGACTATATATTAATAATCTCACGTTAACTGAGCATAATTTTCAACATTTTGCTCACATATTTCGATTCTCAACCTAAAAAATATGTGAATTTATCTTGATTTCCTTTGTTTTTTGAACTCCAAATTTTTAACATTAAATATCTTTGAGTTAAATATTTTTTGGATAAACATAAAGATTTTTAATTGATATACTTTATTTTAAGAAATTTGATATATAAATATTTTCCTAATGAAAAAATTAAAAAACCGTGAATCACATTAAATTTTAGAGCATATTACATTTTTGGTTCTTATACTTTGTTCAAGGACTGATTAGTTGTTCATAACGGTTGCTAACTAACGTTGTTAGTGTGAAGGAACCATGGATGTTATGAAAATGAAAAGTTAGGGACAATAAGTATATATAATTTGTTTTAAGAATCAAATCCGAAATTTGAGCAGACCACAGGGACCATCAATGTAATTCACTCTAAAAAAGATAGAGATTTTGTGGTTTTAAGTTATTTTGGGTTTTGATTCCAAGAAGATGAAGAACATGATGGATTTAAATCATCTCTAATATTATTCCTTACATTTAAGTTACTTTAGGGGGTGAAATATACAACAAACAGTGTAAGAAGCAAAATAAAAATAATACGTTTGTTACTTTAATCATGATGCCAATATTAGCAAATATACATTATTTTAATAGTATGTTTTTTTTTTTTTACTTTTTAAACAAAATAAACAAATGACATGATATATATANATAGTATGTTTTTTTTTTTTTACTTTTTAAACAAAATAAACAAATGACATGATATATATATATATATATATATATATATATATATATATATCAATACTACTTTATAAATCAGATTTATCAAAAGTCTTAAAAATAATTTTTAATGTACAAAGACATTTATGCACAAAGTCTTAAAAAAAACTCATAATGCATTAAGTACTACTACTTTATACATTTAGTTTTAAAATCTTTTAATTTACAATTAAAATAATATATAGTCCAAGTTACCAATGCACACTATTACTTTTTCTTTTTATATTCCCAAGATACTTTTGACACATTTAACTCATGTCTTCACCCTCTCATACCTCTATGTCTTCTCCCCATCCCCCAAGGTGAGATTCAAACTGATATTCACTATGAGTTATTAAAAAATCTCTCATTCATCTCCCAATGTAAGATTTAAATATGTTGGATTTTAAATATATTGAATTTTAAATATATTGGATTTTAAACTGTCATACAATTTTTTCATCGATAAACTGTAATTGGAACTGTAACTCTTATTTATTCAAATTGTATGAATATGTAAAGACCAAGTGTAACTTATATCATCATTAAATCTTCTCTAATAGAACCAATGAAACTTCAAAATCATTAAAATTCATGGCTCCCACCGCATTACGCGGGTATACAACTAGTAATAAATAATATATATATATATATATATATATATATATATTATTTGTAGGAAACTTCTCAGAACATCTCCAACAGATTCCTCAAAACCTTCTCCAAAATGAAGAAAGTATGAGAGATAGTATGAAAATCTCTAGATTTGGAGATTTCTCCAAAAATGGTTACTTATAAGAGAGAAATGATTTTTTATTCACTCTACCAATGAGATTGCATGAAAGTAATGTTTTAGAGTGAGAAATAATAGTTTATAAGTTGTATTGAATATTTTAATAATTATACGATCTCTAAAATAAAGAATATGTTGGAGATGGAGGTTAGTTTTTATAGAGATTTTGACTTTTTAACTTTTCATTTTAAAAAATCAATTAAAAATGCTTTTTTATATACAGGAAGTGAGATAATAAAAATTAGGGAGTGTTTAGAATTGATTATTTAAAACAATTTATGCTCATCTATAAATCCAAAATAGTTAAAGATTGAGCTCTTGAGAAATGGTATTACTTATAATTCTTTTTTTCTGTTTGGAATGGAAATAACACAAAGACGTGGTCTTAATTTTTAATTTTGTTTAAATTCCTATTTAATTTGTCTTATTTTAAATAAATAAATGATGAATACGGTATTAAAGAAAAAAATGGGCAACAAAACCCATCACTTCAATCTCACATGATCTTGATTTAGATGGAAAATTCAATGACTGTCATACTATAAACAAAATACAACATTGATAAAAAAAAATCTATGATTCTTATTAATCATAAGTCCTTTGTATAAGAATAAATTATAAGTAGATAACTACGAGATATTTCAGTTCTAATCCAACTCTAATGTATCTACCTTTATCTTTATCGTTATATCCTTTAAATGATGACACACTTATCCTACTACATTCCCCTTATGCCGAGTCAAAGGAGTGATGGTGCACAATTGTTGTCTCGTTAAAACCTTATGCCAAAACAAAAATCCAATGAAAAAAAATAAAAATAGACTTTTTCTTTAGTCTAATGTTCTCTCAGATTCGTACATTAATCATGAGAGTTAGGAAAGCAGAATGATATATAAATTGTTGTCTCACTAAACCTTGCATCTTATTTGATTTACTTGAATCTTGTGGAGAGTTTGTTATTGCTAATTGTATAAAATTTAAGAAAAATATATTTTGTGTTATCACCCTTGATGTAGTTTACGTTCAATTCTTTGATACACGATGCATTATTTTCATAAATGCAGGCAGGGTATTGGATGAACTCAAAACACTAACTCCTCTAATATGTGTAAATATCAGGGCCGTCCTTGGGCCTGTTAAATCTAGCATTCAGAACAGGGCCCCCAGCATTTGGGGGCCCAATTTCACAGCCCATATGGATATACCTCTTATCATTTGGCCGGCTAAGGTTTCAATTTTTGGGTTTGGGCATTTGGCAATGCCGATTTTTGGACTGCTGGACGAGGACGACGCTGGACCAGAACCAAACGCGCGCCTCGTGCCCTCGACCCTTCACCCTCGTTGCCTCGATCTCCCCTCTCCTATCTATCCATCTATTCCGCAATTGTCGATTGAACTCTTCAAAATGGCTAATGATTCGGTTTCATCTTCAGATATGCAACGACAACTAGAACAACGGTCAGATTTTAGATTATTTTTGTTAAGTATAAATACCTGTTTGGTCGATTTGTTGATTACTCGTTATCTGATTACTATTCACTGTTCTTAAATCTCACAATCTCAACGATTTGGTCGATTACTTGATTGTTTTTTGCTGATTTCATTGTCATCTGTGTTGGTCTTGATCAATTGGTAACTTGGTTGGACTCTTGGTTGAGTGAGTAGGTGGTCGATTTTAACCTAATTCCTAAATCCTAAAGGTGAGATAAAGTATCTTTCTATGATTAATTGATTATGATTTATTGATTTATGTCTGTATTCAGTTCTTTGTATACACAAAGTCAGTTATTTGTCTGTCAATCTGTCATGATTGTTTGGAATAATGGAATTGCATAAGATTTAGGTTAATAGGTTCCCCATTTTTTCTTTTCTACCTGTCAAATTTTCTTAGTTAATAATATGGTTCCATTTACTGACTTTATGTGTTACCTAACCTTTGCCTCCATTCGTCTTATTTCTTCATTTATATTTAGCCATTTAGGCATTTAGCCTTTTATTGCTTGTTCACTGTTCTAGGTTCATCACAAGTGTAAGAAAAAACTGAAAACTTGTTTACTTGTTTTAGGTTCATCTTTTTATTTGTTTAGGTTTGGTTCAAATTGTCCAAACTTCAGTCTTCAGATTGTTTAGGAATT